GTGGAGACATTCCTGGTTCTGTTCTTTTCACTGATACTTCTTGCTTAAATACGTGACTGGGCCGGGGCCAGCCCACTTAGGAGTTGGCAGGATAAAACTTTTAAGGGAATAATTAATGGAAATTATGAAGAGCAAGATTTGTAGCTTAATAACAGCGTTGTCTCCTGAGCTGGGTGGAAGAGAGGAGCAGGGAGGAGGTGAGGTGTGGGACAGGAGAGGTGCTCCCAGTGCTGTCCAGATGGTTTAACCTGCTCAGAAACCACGTCCTGTAGGTGCTGGGTCCTGCTTGGGGCTGGGTTACAGGCGTGGATGTTGCTCAGTAGCTGAGCTGTGAGTTCCAGAGCTCCAGGCACAGGCTGGGATTGCTGGGGTGACCCTGGTGGGTCCTTTCAGCTCAGGGCACTCTGTGATTTTCTGACCTGAGACATTTTTTTTAATTTTTTAAAGCCACAAGAAGCTGGCTGGAAGGAGCTGTTTGCTCTGCAGGCTGTGCAGACAACAGCCACCACATCCCAGACAAACAGAATAACTCTGCCATGAACCCAGCTGTGAACAGCACAAACTGGGCACAGCAGGGCCAGAGCCTCTGCTCTCACCTGCAGCATTCATGTGAACCTGTGTGCAAGTAAGGATCACAGACCTTTGGCTGATTTAAGGCAAAAGAAGAGTTTTCTGGTTCTTTTTCTGAACCAGCTGCATGCTGAGGCAGATCTGAGGTGGTGCAGGTGGCACAGCCCAAGTTGCAGAGCTGGAAGGGATGTCCCCAGTGCCCTGGCCAGGCAGGAGGGCTGGGGAAGGGCAATGCCAAGGGCAGGTGGGTGAAACCCTGCCGTGCTCACTCAGCTGTGAGCATCGCTGGTGCCATCAGTGGGGTACTGAGCTCTTCCTGAAGAATCAGATGATAATAAAGACCAAATTATTGAAAGCAGTGCTGTTATCTGCCTTCTGTGCAGTTACTGGGCATTCTCTTCTCCTTCCAGCTCAGCAGATGTGGAGATATCCCTTTAAAAATCCAAATTCCAGGGGCAGGTTCCAGTCTGCCATCCTCAGAGTTTGCTGAATGCACCATGCCCTGCTGAATGCATCAAGCCATGCCTATTGAAGTTTGGGTTGGGTTTTTTTTTTCCCCCTCTAAATGACAGTTTATCTGAGCTGGGGGGGATGAATGGATAACGTTACTATTTACATAAGCTCATTGTGATCTGTCTCAGTAATGTAATCAAATTAGGGTTAACTGCAGCTGGAGAATGCCAGCTTGTAAACTGTTTTTCAAAAAGAATCACATGGTGTTCCCTGACATGTTTAGTATACACTCAGGGGGCTCTGTAAAAATTCTAGCACATCCCTAACTGGTGTATCTGAGGCAGGATCCTGGTGCCACCAATTCCCTGAGCCCAGGGAAGGAAAGGCACAGAAATTCCCCTCCAGCCCAGGCCCAAGGCACAGGCTCTCCTGACGTGGCTGCTGCTGACATGTTGTCTTTCCCCTGGCTAAAATCAACAGATCAGTTGATAGAAAAAGCATGTGGTGTAAGTTTTGAGCACATTCAGGAACATCTGTGCTAAGTGCAGGAGTGCAGCCCACTGCACACGTCCAGCTCTATATTTAGTCTCGTGGCATTCGCATGAGATGAAGCCCAGCCTGGGCTAAAATTACCCAATGAGCAGATTTTCGAAGTATCTTGTTATTCTTCTTAATAAACATCACATCTGGGGCTTGCTTTGCCTGGTTCTGCCTCTCCTCCTCCATGCAGGAGGTGCCGTGGACATCCTGGTGTTGCATCACCCCCTTCCTATGTGCCATGGAGGGTGGAATCCCGGGATTCTGCTCCAGGGCACCTGGTGTGGCTGGTGGGTTGCTGTCTGGTCACACAGGTGTTGTCAGGCAGTGTTTATTCCACACTGGGAATGCGGCAGGACAATTCTGAGGTTCCCTCCAGCTCCCAGGAAGGTTTCTGAAGGCTCATTCGGAGCCCTGGCATGGCTGGGGAAGGGAAAGTTTGGAATTCTGGCCTCTGCTCCTCCACAGCCACCCCACGTGGATGGTGCCAACACCATTCCAAGCTGCCAACCTGCTCAGCTGGAGTGGGAAAATGGGATATTCAGGACACTGGGATGTGTCCAAGCCAATGTAGATGGTCTGTGGTAGAACTCAATAACACCTTGGACGTATTTTTTTAAATCAGGTGTAAAGAAAGGATTAAATATTTAATGTAAACCTGCTCTCCCACTATTGCTAAAATGCCTTTTCACCCACAGAATCACAGAATTGTTAAAGTTGGGAAAGATCTTTACGATCATCAAGGCAGTGCAGCACCACCAGCATGTTCACCACTGATTGTCCATGTTCTGATAGGTTGAGTGTGGAGATGGTTCCATCAAAATTAAAATTCTTGAGGGGTTCTTTCCCCAAAAGTTCTGTAATTGATGGGTACTCAAAAAGGATTTCACCAAATATCAAACCCCAGCCATTTCCCAATATTCCAAACAAGCAAGATCCTACAGAAGATTTTCTGCAAAATCACCATTTTTGAACATGGATGAAATATTTTCACCGAAATTCTGTTCTCTAAGAACTTTGAAATTCAGGATCTGCTATGAATTGAAAAAAAAAAAAAAGGTTTCAGAGAAGGAACTTGCCCCTTGAGCACAGCCCTGTCCAAACCAACAAAAGGAAGCTTGTGTTGGCATCTCCATTCCGACTCAGGAATTCCTGACTCTTAAGCCTGTTTATACAGGGCTCCACCACAGCCCAATTTGCACTTCATTGGAGTTTTCTTTCCCCTCCACGTTTATGGTGCTGCTGGACGAGTGGATTACACACTCTGACTGCACACACTTCTCTGATTGTACCCAAAAGCTTTTTGCAATAATAATTACAGGGAAGTGTCTTCATTTGGAGGCAGCTTTGTTCCCGTGGATGTTTCGGAGTCGTTTTGCATTTCTGTTTCAGATCTGAAAGTCTGATGGCCTAATTCTCCAAAGTTTTTGGGGATTGCTAGCTCCTGGTGAGCAGTCAGCATTCCCTGGAAGCTTGGTGACATTTAGGACAGGCAGGATGGATGTTTAACTCCAGTCATTCATGGGGATGCCAGAGTGTTCCAGGGTAGGAACACAGAATTTTATGGCTCTGGGATTTGCCTCTTGATCCTATTTGCTCTCAGCTACTTTGGAAACCGCAGTTTCAACGTCCATTAGAGCTGGTGTAAAGCATGGGATGGTTTGGGGTTCTTCCCATGGAAAAACAGCCCCTTGTTAGTGCAGCTGAGCTGGAGATTTGGCAATGGGTTGGAAATTTGTAAATCGGTCGATCTCACCTGGGCATGGCCAAAGGGAGCCAAGAGCTTTGTGCCAAACTGTCAGCTGCTAAAATGTAATGGAGCCTCTCCTCTCCTCTCCTCTCCTCTCCTCTCCTCTCCTCTCTCTCCTCTCCCTCTCCTCTCCCTCTCCTCTCATCTCCTTTCCTAAACACCTAAACATCCCTGAACTTCTCTTCCCTGTACTTCCCTGAACTTCTCTGAACTTCCATGAACCTCTTTTCCCTGAACTTCCCTGAACTTCTCTTCCTTGAACTTCACTGAGTTTCCCTGAACTTTCCTAAGCTTCCCTGAACTTCCCTGAACTCCCCTTCTCCATTTTAACCTACATTTCCTTCCACATTCGTCTCTTCTTGAAGGTTTTTCCTGCTCTTTGGCAGCCGAATCACCTTCCTATCTCTGGGAGCCCCGAGCACCCCGAGCTTCTCCTTCCATCTCCTTTCCTAAACATCCCTGAACTTTTCTTCCCTGAACTTCCATGAACTTCTCTTCCCTGAGCTTCCCTAAGCTTCCCTGAACTTCTCTGAGCTTCCCTTCCCTGAACTGTCCTGAGCTTCCCTTCCCTTAACTTCTCTGAGCTTCTCTTCCTTGATCTTCATTGAGCTTCCCTGAACTTCCCTGAACTTCCCTGAACTCCCCTTCCCCATTTTAACCTGCATTTCCTTCCACATTCATCTCTCTTCTTGAAGGTTTTTCCTGCTCTTTGGCAGCCGAATCACCTTCCTATCTCTGGGAGCCCCGAGCACCCCGAGCACCCCTGTCCTTGGGTGCCTGTCTGACCTCAGCCACCCCAGATCCCCCCAGAGCTCCGGGAGCCGCTGGAATTCCCAGCGGGGCCGCTGGATCAGGTCCGTTCCTGGTGTGTTTATCCTGGAGGGGGATGCAGGGTTGAGGTACTTGACCTCCCCGAATGCCTGCTGACCTGGAGCTAATCTGAGGTGGAGCACAGCAGCGATTTAATGACTTGTTCCACCACACCTCGGCTGGAGGGGGAATTAAAGAGCCCTGGGGGGCTGGAGCATCCCAGGACCTGCTCCAGAGGCACTCAATCCTGGAAATCCTGTGAGTACCTCTTCCCTTGGTGCCTACACCCATCCTTGTCTGCTCAACCTAAGGGAATTATTCACAGAAGTGACAGAAAACCTTAAAAAAAAAAAAATATATATATATATAATATTTCTTTTAATACACATAATTCAACTATGAAAATATTATCACTGCGTTGTTATATTTAGTATATTCAGCAGGACTAGCTCCTTAAGTCAATAGACAAAAATTGTGATCCCATTCCGCTAATCAGTGTGCCACAGACGGCTTACTTTCGCAAGGATGTACACAACAAAACAAAAATATGTAAAATAAATAAACAAAATGGTTTCCCTTTTTTTTGTTTTGGTTTTTTTTTTTTTTTTTGTTGTTGTTGTTGGTTTTTGCTTGGTTTTGTTTGTTGCTTATATATATTTATACATATAAAAATCTAAATTACAGTTGTGCTGAAAGCACTCCATTGAACTTCCCAAACACCTGGGTGCAGTTGTGAGTTTTGGCCATTATTATCAATAATATAATACTTATTCATTCTCCTCATCATCATCATAACAACAGCAATATGAATCTCTATTATTTTATAGCATTCTCAGTTGCAACACAACTGAATTTTGTTTCTATTCTGTTTTTTCCTTAGCAAATACTGACTGATCCCGAAGTGACCTCCCAGGAGGGCAATATTAAAAAGGTAGGACATGGCTCAGTCTTCTGGGAGTTGTTTTATTCCCTGGCTTGGAAATGCACCTGGACACTTTTTCCTCCCTTTTGAACCGAGGCATTGATGGCAATAACGTCGTAAAAGTTTTCCAGTGTTTGCTGTTGCTTTTTTGGATTAAGTGTTGTGGTTCTGTTGGCATATTTTCCTGTCTTTTTGTGATTCCAGTCATTATGAAAGAGAAAATAATAGTTTGAGGTGTTCCTTGATTCAGCTACAACACAAACAGCCGCCGGGCCAAAGCGAGAAACCTCATTTACCTCTTTTCCAGTAAAAGAAAATGTTGGTCCTTTGTTAAAAGTGCTAAATTTTTGGAGGTCACTTCAGCATCAAATGTGGCTTACGTGACGTCCAAGGGAAAAGGAATAGGTCTGTGAAAGGATAAAATTCAGCCCATGTGATGCATTAGTGGTGCTTTTCATCACATTGTGGAGCTCCAACTGGAGCAGTGACCAGAGAAAATGTGTTCCACACTCAGCCCAGCTGCACAAATGTCTCCACTGGAGCTGGGAGGCAGCCTCAGCATGGCATGTTTGGGTAGCCAGGCTGCTGTTTGGGTTGGGGTTACCCTCAGAGGCACTGAAATGAGGTTTTGCTCCATGCGGATCTGTTGGTTAACAGCTTTGCTGATTAAAGCTTTACAAGTCGGGTTTGATTAGAGCCTCTCAATGGCTGTAGCTTGTGTATCCTCTCTGAAATAAGGTTGTGACTCCTTTTATGTGCAGTTGTCTTGTAAAGGATGTTCACAGTCCTGCTTGTGAGGTTTTTGGGAGTGGAAATCTCTGAGGCTGGCCCTTGCCACATTGCTGCTCATCCTTCAGGCCATGCTGCTTCTCCACTCTTGAAACTGAAAGGAATCCCTTGCTTCCCTCTGCCAAACAGAGTGAAATACAATCCTTGCCAGGCTCCAGAGCCAAGCTGGGAAAAGGGATTCAGACACATGTCCAGTATGGCCTGTTCTATTCTCACCGCATTAAAAAAATAAAAAATCAGGTTTTATTTCCAAGAGGAAACATCCTCTGAGCACGCCGTGACCTCGCCAGGGACCTGTGGCAACAGGGCTGAACTTTTTACCTTGGGCACCTCCATAACTCATGGGGTGTCTGTCCCTGCCTCTGTGGGATCCTTTTGTCTGGACAGACGTGGTGACAAGGTGGCAGGTTCTCATTATCCCCACAAGGATGGAGGGAATTCTCCATGGCTCAGCTAATTTTTATTCAGTCTTTAATTATGATATCACAAATGAACTCTCCATCCCCACCTCCAGGACCTGCAGCACCCCAAAGAGAGCAGGAGTTGTGTGAAGCAGGGAAACACAAAACTGGCAGTTTTATATGTTCAGTCCGCGGGTTTGTATTTAAACTTTGTGCTTTTATTTCAAGGGGAATTGCTACAAAAACTGCAGGTCTTTGAAAAATGCCATGTCCTTAAATATTTCCTTGTGCAGCAGGTATAAAACTGGACAATTGTGATATTTGACAAGGGGGGAAGGCCTGGCCTTCCACTTGTGTCTTTTAAATGCATTGTAGAGAAGCACTAGTGGGAGTTTATGAGGTGATAAATTTATTGAAGGATGGGCAGTAGGGTTTTACAGCTGGGGTAAAGGAGGTCAGAGCAGTAAGGTAAAGAGTTCAAGTCTAAACTTTATGGCTTGTGAAAAGACTACTGTGAGACAGCTTTTCAGTCAGGAGAAAATGAAAACTAAAGAATGAGAAATCACTCTGGACAATTTTTGTAGGATCTCTCAATTGTTTGGAAGTAGCACTCTGGCATTTGGCTCCAGTGGCACAAAACCCTCTCGGGAGCAGATTTCCTTTTCCAGCCTCTCTAAATCATTCAGTTGTCATATCCCTGAAGACACAATGGTTGAGATTTAACTTCAATTTATTCCTATTCCTTCAGAGATGAGTTGGTGGTGAGAAGGTGACTGAAGACAAATGTAACTGGAGTGGGTGGCCTGATTTAAACTGGGAGGGCAGGAAATCGGAGCTGCAGAAACCATAATTTCAGTGGCTCTTTTGACTGCTGCATCACAGGTTCAGAATTGGGCACTAACAAGGACTAGAAAGAGCAAAAAAAATAAAAAATCCAAAATGCAGAGAAAAACCTGTAAAACCAGGAAAAAGTAGGGAAGGGAAGGTGATGGCAGTGAGAGGTGTAGGGAGATGTGCATGAAGCAACCTCTGCTTAAAACAGACCCCAGAACTATCTCTGCTCTTAAGCTCCCAGGAAAGAAACACTCTTTTACATAACTTTAATGAACTGAAAGGCAGGAGAAAGTCTATAGCACAGCAGAGCCTGTTTTGTAGTAGAATAAAATGGGTTGTTTTGGCTTGAAGCACAAAGAATAAGTATTTCTCACCATACCCAGTATTCTTCAGTTCATGTTACTGTTATTTCTGCTGGGACCACTAACACCACAAAGCTGATTTCTTTGTTAGTGGTTGTCTGACAGGACTAATTCAATGTCATTGAAGAACCATACCCAGGATCATTTTTTATATCTATGCTGCTCCTGTTAGTGGTTGTCTGACAGGACTAATTCAATGTCATTGAAGAACCATACCCAGGATCATTTTTTATATCTATGCTGCATATCTATGGATTGAAATGTGGTGCATACCTAACGAGCTTTCCTTGTATCACCTTTGCTGGCTGATATTTAGTTTAACTTAGACAAAAATACACGAGCTCTTCATCTTGTTTGTTTAATTTTAAATCATCAGGAAGCAATATTAAAACAGGAAAGTCACTTATTTTACTTATTTTAGTGACCTGAATGAGGACACTCGGAGATAAAAATACGAGTAATACCTGGGGGTTTTCTGTCCCCTGCTTCCAAATGTCTTTTTCCCAGCCCATATCCCTGCACTCTGTTTATTTTGCTTAGAAAGCAGCTCAGTGTCCTCTCCCTCTGAATTTTCCAAGCATTTAATAAACTCAGCAAACACCTTGTTGTCATTGTCACCGTCCCCGTTGTCATTTTGCTTCAACTTTGAGCTGAAAGATTTCCACTTCCTCCAGCAGGAAGCAAAGCCTGTGCCCATTACACACACCTTTTTTTTTTCTTTTTTTTCCCCCCAAGCAGATGCATTTCCCTCCCCTCCAAGGGTCACTTTGGATGAGGGTTCCAGAATGCTGGGGAAGGATTCTCTGTGTGTGCAGAGCTCCCAGCCAACCTCCCCAGGCTGGGCTGTTTTTCTGACCGTGGTGACAAGGGACCTCAGGGACTTCTCTCTTCAGTAGACTCTCTATTTAGTTTCTGTTTACTTAGAGGGAATAGCCTGAGGGGCTACTGGAGAGAAAACATCTGTGGGAGATAATCTATAGAGTTATCTATCTATCACTCTTGTCGACCCTGTCTCCCCTGAGAGCAAGCTGAGAGACTTGTAATAAAAAGGCATCGCTGAAGAGGCTTTAGGGACAAATAAAGAGACATGTTAAGGGCCAGCTGAAAAAGGATAGAAGACATTATTAAAGCTCAATAGCCGTCTTATCAAAATCCAATAGGATAGGCATTTGGCAAAAGGCTTTAAATTTATTCTTTGACTTTCTGGAGAGCTTGAATTTATCCATTAACAAGAATGTGCTGCACGGGGAGCGGGAGATGCTATCGGCTTCAAAAGGGTTGGATTCAATCTGGTATTGTGCAAAACACAACAAAAACTGAAGACAAAACCAATTTTCCCCCCTCTTCTGGCTGGCCTCATTCCTACATTGCCAAATATTAGAAGCTGTAAATATAATGCTGATGAGGCTGTGGAGTAAAAGCAATTTAAGCAGTACGGTTATTCTGCGCTCACAAATCACACAGATTTCTTTTTAAAAACAGAGCGAATTTTAGAAAACTGGGTGTCCTGTTTCAGGGTGTGACCAGAAATTTTGGCCTTTTAAAAAAGCATCAAGTAGCAAACAAGAAACCCAGGTACAAGGAAAGCTTTGAGCTCTAAAGCAAAAGCAAAACCCAACGAGCGTTTTGCCGCTGCAGATGCGAAGAGCGGGATGGGGCCATAAATCTCCCCGGGTTTATTATTATATCCAAAATGCTACAGGTCACAGGAACCATCTGATACTTCAGCAGCACATTGTTCACACGGGGATGATTGATTGATAATTATGATAATTTGCCAAATGATTATTTGGGTATTATGGCCGCGGCCCGTCCCGCCGGGTCGCTGTGAAGACATTTTCTATATCACGGGGCCGCCAGGAATGGCCTCTGGCAAGGAGGGATGTGGAGAGGTCTGGCCGGGCTCTCCCGGTGGGATCTGGGGGGCTGATGAATGATGACCCAGAGGAGTAAGAAATCAGACTTCAATAAGCACTCAGGAAGGCAGTTAGGGAAGAGCAAGGGAGCTGCTCACTGTCTTTTGTGCAGCAATTACTGGGCAGGACAAACGCCCCAGGCCTGAGCCTTGTGAGAGCAAATTGCAGATTTGAACCTGGATTTGCCGTTTCTCAAATTGCAGATTTGAACCAGGATTTGAAATGTTTCAAATTGCAGATTTGAACCTGGATTTGCAATTTTTTAAAATTGCGGATTTGAACTCGGATTTGGAATTTCTCAAATTGCAGATTTGAACTGGGATTTGCCGTTTCTCAAATTGCAGATTTGAACCAGGATTTGAAATGTTTCAAATTGCAGATTTGAACCAGGATTTGAAATGTTTCAAATTGCAGATTTGAGCCTGGATTTGCAATTTTTTTTAATTGCGGATTTGAACTCAGATTTGGAATTTCTCAAATTGCAGATTTGAACTCAGATTTGAAATGTTTCAAATTGCAGATTTGAACCCGGATTTGAAATGTTTCAAATTGCAGATTTGAACCAGGATTTGAAATGTTTCAAATTGCAGATTCGAACCAGGATTTGAAATGTTTCAAATTGCAGATTTGAACCCGGATTTGCAATTTTTCAAATTGCAAATTTGAACCCAGATTTGCAACTTCTCAAATTGCAGATTTGAACTCGG